AAGACTTGACGTGTCTGAAAGGGGACCAGGTTACTCGTTGCGCGAACCGAATTTCTTTCCACACTTTTAAAGGCGGATTCATTGTTCTATTTCCAAACTAAAGCTCTCCCAGAGAGAGAAACACAACAACAACCACATGAAGGAAAAGTTCTGACCTAAAACGATGAATCCGCTTTAAGGGTTACTCGTCGCGCAAATCCCATTTCTCCCATTCATATTTAAGGGGCACTCGTCGCGTGAACCAGATTTCTCCCCACACTTTTAAGGTGTACTCTTCGCACGAACTCCATTTCTCCCCACAATTTTAATTAGTACTCATACGACGAATACTTGTCTTCCCCACATTTTCACCAGTATCAATGCGATGCCTCACAAACTCCGTTCTGCCCCGATTGTTTCCAACCTTGCCGAATATGTATTTAGGGTGAAAATCCATAGCGTTGTGCTGGTATTTTCCTTCCAAACTATCCATCCATGCATTGATGTCTACCGCAATGTCCTTCTCGCCAAGATCACGGCTCCGTGGCGAAGTTTGTCAATCTTGATGCCTTGGTCAAATAGGAGATCTACACCAATGGTGACTTCATTCACTATAGACTTGTGTCCGTATTCCCGATTGCGACTTTGCATGTTAGTTCGCCTTAAACTTGGGTGTCCTCACTTATTGCTGTCCTCAACTTTTCACCAGTAAATGGCCTCACCTCCTGGAGCGTTTGTCGAAGTGGTTGGACGATTCAACTGCGAATCTCGAAACGAAAACGATCTTTTAGATAATCCCTCTTACCGTCGAATTTGTCTGCCTCTCTTTAATTTTCTCTTGTTTCACCACGCATTTCTCTTGTAACTCCGTAAGTAGTACATTGCCACTGACTAAATTCTCGTGAAGCTGTGTACTTTTCACATCTACTTGTAGGGAAATCTCCCACGAGAACTGCGACATCTCATCTCTACTGTACTTCATTGAGCTGTATTTGCATCATCTGTGGCATGGCAGCCAATAACGTGTTCATGTCTGTACCCCTCGATGAACCTGGAGGCTTTATATTTCTTCAACCTTCGTGGATGTCTCCTGGGTGAATTCTCGTTCTGCGTTATTGTGAAGTGATAAAAATAACCATTTCAAACCGCATTTATTTCCGAACGTGGATAATCATCGGTTTGCCAATTCATTTTTGAGACGTAGTATGGTCAAATTATAGAACTTCGTCATTTTAAAGCTTTCTCCTATTGGATTTTTTAATGATCCCAATTCTGAAACCTATATTTACAATTATGCTTGAATACTTGACGGATTTCCTAAAGATCAGCCAATTAAATGTCAGCCAGCTGTTCAATTTAAACTCAGTTTACTTAAACTAAGTTTAAACTGGCACTGTAGAACTGGCCCTAGCAAATGAACGCTAGCAAGAAAAAGGGGTTGTAAAGGTATTTGTAAGCCGAATATCGTTGCAGGTCCAAATGGAAACTCTACGAATTGCATATTGAGTATCGCACAATGTCATTTCAGTTATATGGACCTTACTTTGTCGTATTATTTAATGAAATTACATGTACATATGTATAACTGTCATCCCTAAATTGGCGCGACAAGCCCCAAGCAGCTGTCAAAAATCCTCATGCTCATACAATTTGTAAGATTCATCCCACAATAACGCGGCGCTAGTGCCGAGCAAATGGAATTTTCATCTCTGACAGGGCGTTACGTGTTAAAATTGGATGCGGATAACGGAAAGAGAGAGGGCAAAAAAGTGAAAGAAGAAAAGAGAATAAAAACGATAGGAAGTTGGAAAATGTCAAAAATTACGCCACGCTGGTTTGGGTATAACGCGCCCTGGCACTCGCTGACATTGGATAACGCAACGCTTAGCGCTCGAATTTAATGACGTCAGTTATTTTGATTTTCTTGTTGTTTTGCAACTTCAACAGAAACGGAAGATTTTTTTATTGATGACTGTAGGTCAAAGCGTCAAATTACACATACATGTAATTTGATCAAACAATTTGACCGTGTAAGGTCCATATTAGATTAAGTCGGATTCATCCCACGGTGCAGCGAACAAAGGTGGCGCCGTCAGTGGTACCGCTACTTTGGTTTTGCCGATTTTGACAGTTGTGGTAACTTGTAAATAAAACTTTGTTTACAAATCAGCGAAAGAGAAATTTGAATTATAAGTGAAAAATCAGTTTAAATTGTGTTAATTTGCAATTTGTGAGTGATTTTTGAGTTGAAGACGGCGTAAAAACTATTAAAATGAAGTGCTGTGTGTTAAATTGCGACAGCCATCAAGATCCAAGATGCGTAGATGCAAGTGTAGCGCTGGGACGAATCGCTGCATTTTGTGTACATAGGGAACGGCAAAGCCGTTCCCGAAATGTTTCTTATTATTACATTAACAGCATTTCCTCACAATGATTTTGCTTCTGCTCCAAGCAGCCTCCATTAGCAAGTTAACTAATCAATCCCGCTGAGATGCTGCCGCAGTTTTCTGCTGCAGCCTTAATTGCAAAGCAATGGAGTGCACTAAAGCCTTTGCTGAAGCAGCCTCAATTGCAAGGCAAAGGAGTGCACTAAAATGTTACATATTCTCTAATAGATTACGTAAAATAGCAATATTTTCGCATTTAGCAAAATTAAAACACGTTTTTCGCTGTAAAGTGAACTGTTTTGGCAGCTTCAACTCGTTCTTCTTTTCGCTCTATTCTTTGTTTACTTGTGGTAAACAAATGTCAACGCCCAGGACGGCGCAATCTTGTATTCTATCATTCTTGGATTCATCCAAGGTGCTGTTACTTAAGGACCATTCACATACAACTTTCCTCCCTTTGCTTGACAGTTCAAACTTTGACAACAAAGCGTGAAACGCAGAAGGTATGCTACAATAAACGCTTTGACAGCTTGTGCGTTCTCCTTTTCCTCCATGTATTTTATCTGTAAAATAGATAACAATATAATAATATGCATTAATAATAGCAATAAAAATTCCTATTTACCCTATTTTTGTCATTAAATGCAAATGCAAGCGCACGAGAAAAGATACAGCTGATTGCTAAAGCGGGCAAAAGATGAGAGTTGCCCAATATTTTGCTTTGCTTTGCTTCAAACGTTTTTTATGTGAGCATACTCATGCATATGCCTACATCGATCTTATATGTCAAACCAAAGAACTATCAAGCAAAGCGAAGAAAGTTGTATGTGAATCAGCCTTTAGGGTTTACACCGGACAATATTGTCAAGACAATTATGTCAAAATGATGTGTTTGTTGTAATATGAATTTGCCGTGTTTACAACAAACACATAATTTTGACATAATTGTCTTGACAATTTTGTTTGGTGTAAACCCTAACTTAGCAGACAAACCGATTTCTGGTTTTTTCTTTCGCCGTACTTGTTTTTTGTTTTGCTTTTACTTATTTGACAGCACACACGTGAAAAGCAAAAACAAAATTCATTTAAAGTTGGGCAGCTTGATCGTAAAAGCAAGACAAACTATAAAGAATAGCAAGTAAAACTATTTTTATTCACTCAAATGATCATCGTTATAAACTTATCACAAACTTTTTCTTGCAAACATTGCACACTGAAACTCTTTCATCACTACTCGTATCCAAGTCAAAAAAGCTTCAGAATTAAACGCTTGGTTATCGGCCCATCTTCTTCCAGCAATAAATAAACTATACTAACTAGACGCAAACTACAGCACTTCACTCAGTATTTTTAGCAATCCTATTGAATACCTTTGCATTTAAAAAAAAAAGAAAAAGAAAAGGTCAATTCGAAACGTAAACAAACAGCACACAACATAAAAGTCTAACTAATGCAGATAAGCCAAAAAGTTGTTATAAAAGCAACTGCGAGTGATTTATTTTTTATAACAAGAAATAAATGACAATTTGTGACACAGCAATAAATGGGTCGGTTATTTTCGGTCTCTGCCCAAAGATGAAACTCATTTTCTACTCATTATAGTGACGACTCCACTACCCGCACATTATTTAAATTCGCAAGATCTTCATCACTGAGGCAAATGCTAGCGGATCTTTGAAATTCAATTTTTTTTAACCTCGGGTCGAGTAAAATTAATGCAGTTAGCAAAAAATAATGATCGATGGATAGATTTTAGACAAGAACAGAGTTCATATTTTTTGAAAATATTTTTACAATTATTCTGCAATTAATCGATTAATCAAATATATTAAAACAATACAATTAAATGGTATACGCACGAGGCGAGTTCGCATTCAACTCACGCAGTGTTGCACGAAAAAAAAGTTGAATGGCTAAATGTTGGCTGGCGACCAACTTTGTTGAAAGCGATTATTTGAAAGGCCGTTCGGGAAAATTTTANTCGGATATTTTCGGTCTTTGCTCAAAGATGAAACTCATTTTCTACTCATTATAGTAACGACTCCGCTACCCGTTTCCATAAGATGATCTGCGCACATTGTTTAAATTCGCAAGATCTTCATCACTGAGGAAAATGCTAGCGGATCTTTGAAATTCATTTTTTTAACCTCGGGTCGAGTAAAATTAATGCAGTTAGCAAAAAATAATGATCGATGGATAGATTTTAGACAAGAAAAGAGTTCATATTTTTTGAGAATATTTTTACAATTATTCTGCAATTAATCGATTAATCAAATATATTAAAACAATACAATTAAATGGTGTACGCACGAGGCGAGTTCGCATTCAACTTTTGCATTCAACTCACGCAGTGTTGCACGAAAAAAAAGTTGAATGGCTAAATGTTGGCTGGCGACCAACTTTGTTGAAAGCGATTAGTTGAAAGGCCGTTCAACCAAAAGTAGAATGCAAAGTTAAATGCAAACGCCTTTTTATGGCGAAGATTTTGACATTTTTTTATATTTTGATATTTTTAGCCTTTCATTTTTTTTTCGAGCAACACTGCGTGAGTTGAACACAAAAGTTGCCTGAAAAATCGCCACGTGCGAAAGCCCCATAAATCGTAAACTGAACAAGAATAATCGATTAATTTAATCAAATGATCAACCGCTGCCATCCCTTGTGGTGAATTACTAAAAAAATGTCTGATTTCGCGTTTGATTACGCTTTGGTAAAACAGCTCAAATCCGTATAGCTTTAAAAATTTCTGCCAAATTTTCCAATGCATTTTTAACTTTAATAGTTTGAAAAACATACAAACCACTATAAAATAAACTTTTATCGGCCATAAAAAATATTAAAGGTGCGCTAAAGCGAAGTCTCAAGATTAAAAGACTTACGTGGGGTGCGGGGATTGAGTGGCTAATGTCTCCGCTTTGTTGAAAATAAAAGTTTCAATACTCTGCGGAGCTTGTCAAATAATCAATAAACAAGTCCGGGGGACGTAATAACTTTCCAACGTCCATTGTCAATTGAAAAGTGGGTTGGTGTTATAGAAGCAATTTCAGCTTCGTCCACCCAACGGAAACGATGTCAACAACTCCAAATTCTGGAAATAGTAGTAGTAGCAACAACAACTCTACAAAATCCCCAAAACAAAATCAAGTTAACGGCGGCGATTCATACAGTGACAGTAGTAGCATTGAAGAAAATCTTGAATCCGAGGAGCGAAGGCGTAGAATTTTGAAAAACAGAAATAGGTGAAATTATTTGAATGCTTTAACAGGCCCAATAATTCTTATACCTAAGTTTGTTATTACTGTAGAAGCAGTGGCTATTTGCAACGCAACGTTAGTAGTAAATCACAGCCGCATCACCACGTTACGCAGCAAAGAGTCAGTATGAGTGCAGCAAGCGGTGCTATACCGAAACACGACAAGTCAAGTGCGGCAGGCTCTGCCGTATCCAATAATAGTGGCGGACAAAATGCTGGAGGTGGGGTTTTACTGCGTCCGGGAGATCGTATTGCACTGCTAGTGGACAATGTACGCTTTGTTATTGAGCAGGCACTAGTAACAGCACATCCAAACACCATGCTAGGTACAATGTTTAGCTCAGGCTTTCAATTTGTCCACCCCAACGAGCGCGGTGAATATGAAGTAGCTGAAGGCATTTCCCATACCGTTTTTCGTGCAATCCTAGAGTATTATAAAACTGGAATAATTCGCTGCCCTCCAACGGTATCTGTCCCCGAACTAAAAGAGGCATGTGATTATCTGCTTATACCATTCGACGCGACTACTGTTCGGTGCCAGAATTTACGTGAGTTCTCCCTTCAAACTAACTTATGGATGGTTTAGATGGATATAACCACTAAATTAACAAGTAGCATCCTTTCTTATTCAGAAAATTCTAGAAATATACATATGTACCTGCAATTCAGGGCCGTAAAACTATATTATGGTTATTTAGTAGCGTTTTTTCTCTCTCCCTTTTTTCTCTTCCTTTGTTGTTCTGACTTTTTAATACGTACTCATTTCCCTTCCCCCGCATGTACGTTTTTTGTGTTTGTACGTCTCAAAGGAGGTTTACTACATGAACTCAGCAACGAAGGTGCTCGTCAGCAATTCGAAGTTTTCCTTGAGGATCTTATACTGCCCCTAATGGTTGCGTCGGCACAACGTGGTGATCGAGAATGTCATGTTGTAGTTTTACTGGACGATGACGTTGTTGACTGGGATGAAGAGTTTCCTCCTCAAATGGGCGAAGAATACTGCCAAAGTACGTTATTTACTTTAAAACATCGGTTCATGTTTTAAATATATAAGTCTCATTGCAGCCGTTCACAGCACCGCTATGCATAGATTTTTTAAATATATTGAAAATCGCGACGTAGCTAAACAAGTTATGAAAGATCGTGGACTCAAAAAAATTCGTTGTGGCATCGAAGGATATCCAACACACAAGGAAAAGATTCGTCGCCGACCAGGCGGCCGTGCAGAAGTAATTTATAGTTATGTTCAACGACCCTTTATACACATGTCTTGGGAGAAGGAAGAAGCAAAAAGCCGTCACGTTGATTTTCAGTGTGTCAAATCCAAGTCGGTGACAAATTTGGCAGAAGCCAACGCAGATCCGCCTTTGGAATTGGACGCAAGTAAGATCTATTTTCACTTTTTAAGCTTATATGTATGTATATATTGCATTTACATATGAGGTCATGATAGCCTGAGGAGCCTATCTTCAAACAAAACTTTTTGAGTAATATGGGAAAGAAAGATCTCTAAATAATAAATACGGTATTTTACTGAAAAGTTCTTTGCACCTGCGTGATGCTACCTATTATAGTAAAAGAAAACTAAAAGGGTGTGTCTCGGTATATTGCCGTTTCGATTCTAGTAATGCATTTTAAGGCTGTACCTCAATTCTGACTCATGGCCTCATATACATATGTATATAAGTATAAAGTTGAAAACTAAAAGTGGTTATAATATTTCCTTCTTCTAGGTGGCAACCCAATACGACCAGTGGAAGTAAACATAAATGCAGAGGCGCGGGCACCCTTCGTTGCTGACGCTGAAGGGGCAGGTGGAGGAGGGGCTAATGCACCAGTTGCTGTCGCTGTTGACGAAGCGGCCGGTGGTGTAATCATGTTGAACGATCTTGAACAAGCCTCTGGCGGTGGCGTCGAAGAATCAGTCTGAATGCACATGTCCTAACAAAACAAAAAAAAAAACGTAGCATTTGTGAAAATACATTTAAAATTTATAAGCGTACGTACTCTTTTCCCTCTTCATATAACTAAATACTATAATGATATTAATATACGTTTTCTATTTACATAAGGGTTTATTTTATTTAGCTAATTATAACGATTGGTTTACAAGCCAAATTTTTATTATTAGAAGTCCAGCTTTGAAGATTCCGTCAGCGTAGACGTGTCCCAATTCATGCATCGCTCTACAGCCATCTTCCACTTTTTATAACGCATATTTCTTTCATGATTTCCAATGGTCGGCTTAAAAGTGCTCAATTGACCCGAACTGCCGACGAGAGGTGCTGTGATGTCATAACTTGGCTCTACCACCATATATGCAGCCAGTGCTGCACCCTGCAAATGGGAACATATATCAGTAACAGTATTTCATATTTGTATATAATATGGCTATTTACCAATGCGGTCGTCTCCTGCATCTTAGCACGGACGACATTGATGCCCACCAAATCAGCTTGCAGCTGCAGGAATAGATTATTTGCGGTCATACCGCCATCAACCATTAATTTTGTCATAGGAATACCGCAGTCTTTGCGCATGGATTCCAAAATATCTCTAACTTGGAAGCAGATGGCTTCCAGAGTTGCACGCACGATATGTTCGCTAGTTGTTTCTTCACTGAGGCCACATATTGCGCTATAATAATTGAATTGTAGGCTCTTCAGTATTTTACATCTAATTGCCCTTCGTTGTAACTAAACTTACCCACGAGCTTCTTGGTTCCAATATGGGGCATAAAGCCCACTGAACGCAGGAACAAAATAAACGTCTAAAGAGTCTTCAACTTTGCCCGCCATCTCTTCGACTTGACTGACCGAATCGAATAGTTCCAAGTTGTTCTTCATCCAATTTATAGCTGCTCCAGCTATTGCTACACTACCTTCTAAAGCATACATTACCGGTGCACGCGGACCTAGTTGATAACCAACCGTTGTAAGTAACCCGTGCTTAGACTGCACAATTGATGTTCCCGTATTATAGAGAAGAAAACAGCCTGTACCGTATGTAGACTTCGCAAGTCCATGACTCAAACATTGCTGGCCTACAAGGGCAGCCTGTTGATCTCCCAAACACGATGCGATTGGAACACCTTTCAAAGCACCCACAACTACATCACCGTACCTCTCTGCACTCGAACGAATTTGTGGTAACATTGAAGCGGGCAACCCAAAGAAACGTAGCAGATGAGGATCCCATCTCAAAGTCTCGATGTTCATTAGCATAGTTCGCGATGCATTTGTTACATCAGTTAGGTGGACTCCGCCATCAGGTCCCCCCGTCAACTTATAAATTAACCATGTATCAATAGTTCCAACTTGACAGGTATTTGCATCCATAGCTTTCTGAACTTCACCAACATGATCCCGCATCCAGCGCATTTTCAAGGCCGAGAAATATGGTGAAATAGGTAGTCCACATAGTGGTTTCAAGTAATTAATATTTCTCGACTTATTTGGTATAGTCTCAACCAGTTCATCAACAGTACTTGAAGTGCGATTATCTAACCAAATAATGGCATTATGCAATGGTTTACCGGTTGCCCGATCCCAAATTATAGTTGATTCCCTTTGGTTTGTTATACCAATTGAAACAATATCCTCAAAGTAGAAAGGTAATTTTAAACAATTAATGTGTAATATGCGGTTCAGAAATGAAGATATGTGTGTCAACTGATTATGTAAGTATGTATTTTTGTACATACATACATATATCTAATACATATGGGATATATGCCAGAATAATAGATGCAGAAGAATGATGTTCGCTGCATCGTGGGATATACATATCGTCCCGTTTCTGCGTTAAAACTAGTATCTGCAATAGAATCGTTCTAGAGAATACAAGGAAAAATTCTTATTTTCATCCACAAGGAAACAATAAACGCATCTTTTACTCAATATATCTGGTTCTACAAATACTGTTCAGCACTGACATTAAGTTTTTGTTTTAGTTTCAAACAGTATGAATGCTTAAACTTTTGTTGTAAGTGGAAACATTAGTTTTTCCTAAAAATGTGGATACGTGGTTAACGCAGAAACTAGACGATATGTATGTATATTTATAATGCATGGTAGAAACTAAATAAATAAATAAATAAATAAATAAAAGCGGTAACCAAATAGCCAGAAAGGCAAGAACACCTACAATAATATTTTTAACAAAAGAGAAAAAATTAACTAAAATGTAACATTCTTTCAGCAAATCGTTGCCTTAATATAACTAGAAAGGCCCTATCTGACATCGTCGCTGATTTACAAAAAGTCGCAACTAACTAAAAATTGAAAATTTACGTTTTAATTGATTATGATGCATTTGATCGAATTATGTGGCCTCGCATCGTTTTATGCAATAAAAGATTTTAGTTAGTTACGGCTTTGTGCATTTCAGCGACGATGCGAGATAGGGCCTTTCTATATTAAGGCAACGAAATGTGCGAAATATACTGCGGATTTGCTGTGTTTCAGGTCATAACTACGATTTATGATTAACAAAGTTCTAACCCTGAAAACAACACAGGAACGTGGTAGGTTTGGAAAAACTGTGGTGAAAATTTTCACTACTGCGAATTTTGACATTTCCTATAAAAAATATAAATAAATAAAAGAAATTTGGAATAGAGGGCAAAGGCGAAGAAAAAGGTAAAAGTCACAAGCACAGGAAAGTGGTAAATCAATGCTTTTCCATCAGCAATTAATTCAATTTGTGAGCGGAGCAGTATCCAAAAACTTTGTCCGCTTCAACAGACGGTCGCTGAGAATGTCCTCAAATTATGTACCCAAGGTTATTGCAATCGGGCAGATGTGTGCCACAAATGATAAAGATAACAATATGCGGCAAGTCGAAGAGTTATTTGTGAAGGCGAAAGGACAATCTGCCACAATTCTATTCTTGCCGGAATGTTGTGATTTCGTTGGGGAACATCGGAAGCAAACACTGGAGTTGTCAGAACCTTTGACCGGTGCGACCATGAATCAATACAAAGAGTTGGCTAAAAGTTATAAAATGTGGTTATCCTTGGGTGGCATACACGAATCCATACTCGATAAAAGTGGAGATAAAACCGATAAAATATACAACACACATGTGTTGTTGAACGATCTCGGTGAAGTGGTGAGCTTCTACCGAAAATTACATCTCTTTGATGTTGAAACAGATGAAATGCGTTTTCGGGAATCTGACGTCGTTACTCCGGGCTCACAGCTGGTTCCACCTGTTAACACACCTTTTGGCATGATAGGTATGCAAATCTGTTATGATTTACGATTCGGTGAGGCCAGTTACCTTTTACGTAAATCTGGAGCGCAGATACTAACATTTCCCTCTGCATTCGCTTACTCAACGGGCAAGGCACATTGGGAAATTCTTTTACGTGCACGCGCTATTGAGAATCAATGCTATGTTGTCGCTGCTGCACAAATTGGTGCACATAACTCTAAACGTACCAGTTGGGGCCACGCTTTGGTAGTTGACCCCTGGGGCAGAGTGCTTGCTAATTGCGAAAAGGAAGAACTAACGGTGGCAACAGCGGAAATTGATCTAGTCAAAAATATATCTGTGCAAAAGAATATGCCTGTGTTTCACCACAAACGAAATGATATTTATTCGTTAACAGCTTTTGGTATGGGAGCAATAGATATTCTGGAGGATCGAAAATTTGCAAATAACACAATACGTAAAGAAACAATTTTTTACGAAACAGAGCACAGTTTTGCATTCACTAATTTGCGCTGTGTAGTGGAGGGTCACGTTTTGGTCTCCACTAAACGTGTTACAAAACGTTTGGACAGCTTGCTATGTGACGAAATTTGTGACCTATTTTCCACAGTCTGTAAAATACAGCGTATGTTAGAGAATTTCTATAAAACAACATCCGCAACGGTCACCGTTCAGGATGGACCTGATGCTGGCCAAACGGTGCCACATGTACATTTCCACATTATGCCTCGACGACCAGGGGATTTCAGCGAAAATGATCACATTTACACACGTATGGACGATCGTTGCTTGGACCAACCAGACCGCACCATAGATGAGCGTATAGCAGAAGCGCAGAAGTATCGTGATTTTATAAAGGATCAATAATAATGTAGTACATATGTACATAAGTATGTATGTATATAGTAGCCAAATTTGTACAATAGGTATAATAATTTGTTAAATTGTTTTAAGGTATCAACATATGAGCCGTTTATTTGAAAGTAGCTTAAGTCATTTCACCCCTCTTTTGGATAAATGGTTGTTTACTTCGAAACTAGAGTATCTGTAAATCATTATACCTACCGCCATAAACTAAGGACAGAACTTGTTACATTTGGCAGATAAGTTGAACGAATAACATACGGATTCAGAAACAAGAAGTGATCACTGAAGTCAAACGGCATGAAATGACTTATACCGCTTTCAAAATAAACGGCTCATATGTATGTGTGTATATTAAAACTTTTAAATAAAAATTTTCAAATTCCGTATATACTTGGTATATATGTACGTACATATTTGCGACTTGAATTATGGCGTGATACTGAAATTGGTTTTCAGGTGAAGACACGTTTAATAATATAGAGATATAGCTCAAAATTTACGTTTTTCATGCAATTAATAAGATTTATAAGTAGAGTACACTCCGCCTAAAACTGATAAAGCTTTGTGGCTTTGCGTGACATTTATAACTTTGCCAGTAAAGCGCCAAACGCGAAAGGTATGCCACAATGTACGCCAAGAAAACAATTTTGTACTGCTTTACTCGTAATTTTATTTTTATTTTTTTTTTGTATTTAAGTTACCCCAGAAAAGTATTGTGTTTTCCCACAAAATTGAAATTTCTGTATATTATTAAACGTGCGATATAAATGTGTAGCTGTTTAGAGAGTTAAATATTTACCTTAACTGATCCTCCTAATTTTTCCAATTTTTTTACGGCTTCTTCCATGCATTCCACAACCAGATCGTATATGATGATGGGATCTTGTTCCACCCAGCCTTCCTAAAAGTGGTATTTAAAAATACAACTAATTCTATGCTCAAGTTTTCTTATTCAAACCTGTGGATAAATAGATGGCACTGCAATTTGATGATAGCATACGACGTTGTTTGTACCAGCGCGAAAAATCATAAAGCGGGCGGACGTGGTGCCTTCATCAATTGAGCCAACTAGTTTTCCAAAAGACATGATTTAAATTTGCTTTGGTTGCTCGAGCACAAATTACACTTGTTTGAATTACGTATATTGCGATTTTTGCACCCTGACCCTTGATCCGCTTGGCAATAAATTGATCGATACGATTCCTTATGACACTCGATTGGCGTAATGATATAAAGATACAAAAGTGTTGCTCCAATTCGAATAATGTATTTGCAGGTACGGAAATCAAATTGTTTTGCAAAACAAAAATATTCTAATTAATTTTCATATTAGCAACTGTTATCGTTGTTTATCATTCTCCAGTTTTTATGCAACAAAAAAAGTCTGATAAGAACATTGCATGGTTGCAATTAATGAGGAGCAAAAAAAGTATAATAAGGCCATGATGCAATAATAAAAGGTGGTATCAATTGTGACAGCTCGATTTGACACTGCCTTAGCTCAGTAGAACGAGAAGAAAAACGGGAAGAAATTAAGCCCCATTTGGGGAAAAATATAAAATTTCAAATTTTTTCCCAAACAAAATTTGCTTTTTTATAGTATATTCGTAATGAAATGAAATAAAATAAGATAAAATACCTTTTTAAGAAAAAAATGTGTATACTGAGTAAAAATGAAAAAAATATTCAACTATATTATTAGGCAGAGAATTGTTAAAGAAGTAACACTATCTCACCTAACTGGCCGTCTCCACAGGATAAAGTTTATATCTTGATACATATGTCAGAATATAATTTGCCAATGGAGATCGCTCATTGCTCTTCGAGAGCAATATATATCAGAGCTTATATCTTGCCATCTATTGCCGGCAATTTGGTAGTTTGACAGCTACATTTTCAATTATTATTTTATTTTAATATAAAAGCAAAAATTTAGCTGTTTCCTGTTAAAATAATTGTAATTATGTATTTGGTTGTAAAATAAAGAAATGCAGCAAAATCAGCAAGTAAAAATTATCATTAATACAATTAACTTGGATGCAATTGGATCTGAAAAACTGCAGGGTTGTATGCAACCACTGCTGCAAATTACTACTTTTTCTGTTTAACCAAAAGTGCTAATTTACACACGGCGATTTTTGTTGCCGCAACTCGACGTTTGTGGGAGAGAGCGTGACGAGGAAAGGAGAGGGCATGAACGAAAGACACAAGATCACGCCTTCCCGAAAGAAAGAAAAAAGTTATTTTCTAGCTGTTGAAATCTCGACGCCATCTTTGTTGGAAGAAGTAAACAATGAAGAGAACAAAAAACAACCGCGTAATTGTTGAACCCATGAATAATCATTTTTATTATGCAAATTCTTCTATAAATCATGTCGTTGTGTTAAATTATTCTTTACCTTATGTGTGCACACGTTGTCACAAGCGAAAATTAAGAAAATTGCAGTAAAAAGCCACCATCAAATTGTAAACAACGAAGAAATCTAAACAAACGGCTAATGTCAAAATCGCCCTACTTTTTTCATAAGTGCGATTATAACGGGCCACTCTTCTGCTGTCGTGATCTTGTCTTTTTGGTTCATGAGGAGAGGGGCACCGAGTTGCTCGTGCTCCGGCAACACGCTTTGTGCTCTCGTTCGTCTGTGTAAATTGAGTTAGCGATTCACAGCTGACAACAATTGCATACACAAAAATCGTCGTGTGTAAATGAAATGAGCAACACCAAAAGCGAATGTGAAAAATCGCGTCGACAAAAGTTTCCGTGTATAAACGCAGTCTTACTGGCCGTCTCCACAGGATAAAATTTATTGCTGCCCAGCTGTTGTTGTTGTTGTTGCAGCAGCATACAAATTCCCCAAAGACTTTTTGGGGAGTGTTGCTGTCATTTTGGTCGCTAGATATAAGTTATATCAGCGGCAATATTTGTGTGGGCTTTTTTATATCTTGATATAAGCATTTGTATGATAGCTTCGAAAACGTATTTTTGCCGGATTTAATCGCTTAAAAAATTTAAAAAATAGGC